TCCCACACATAGCCCTGACACTGCTTTGTTCTCTAATCTGAACTGGACACCTTTTCTTTTCAAACTACATCCTGTCTGTCATATACAGGTACAGTGCTTGTTGTCTGGCATTCCGGTATCGATGATATTCTAAAAATAGGCCCATAAGCAATGGTGAGAGTTAAAGTAGTTCTTTGTTTTATTTATATTAGGTACTTACCATTACAGGAGCACTAGTTTTGGCTAGTATTTCAAAGACAGGAAATGTTAGTCACAGACCTACATGGCAGCTGCCATCACTGCTGCTTTCACATTATAGGAGTGCTACATTCTGCGGCTGCAGGTCCAGCGATGACCATGACTTTTGATAGGAATAAATAAATCTAATTAGCAGCACCTTGCAAGCGTCATTCACCTCCTAGTCCTTGTATCGCTGATCTGCCAGTTAAAATTTAGGTATGGATTTCCATTACACAGCTGCTATACAAGTAGCAAGACAACATCACACGTACAAACCAGTCCCAGAGTTGTGGCACCCAGAAATACACACAGAATTAAAGGAGAACTATGGGGTTAAGGCTTTTCCCCATAGTTCTCCTTAGGGTAACGGGAGGACACAACCTAGCGTCCTCCCGTCACCCTAGGCTCAGTATACCTCTAGCTGTAGCTCGCGGTATACTGAGACGCCTAAGTGGGTAAATTCTACAGTTATAATGCACTATTAGAGGCATTTACTTTATACCCAGAGCTAGGTTCAACTGTACAGACCATGAAACAAGAGAAAGGAGATATGGTTTCCTGTTTCATTAACAATAAAGAGCCTGCTGATCACTCTCAACAAGTGCTGCACACAGGAAAGAATTATTGAGTTTGTAGATTTTGAAGCTTAATGCCCTCTAAACTGGCTGCCCTAGGAACATGTATTGAGAGCCATATAAAAAATATAGTGTGGCCAGGGTTTCATACTGGTATCAAACTAATCTGTTAAAAATATTAGCCAGGCAAGCAGGGCTAAATGTAGAGCAGGGGAGCCAGTGCTCGTTTTATACAAGCTGTAAAGATCACATGTAGCAGCCTGCTTGTCTATCCCTCCCTCTCTGCCATGGTTTTCAGGGTCTCCCACTGTTCTGGGGGACCAGGGACCACGGCAAATGACTTCAGGATGGAGAGCAGGGAGAAGATCGGAGAACATCCATTCTCCGATCTGCTCTGTGTGATCAGTGAGACAGGAGCGCTGTACTCACAGCGCTTCCTGTCTCAGCTGTCATAAGCTGGGCCGTACAGAAGATCAGGCACAATGCTGTGCTCGACCTTCTGTCTAGGAGGGCAGGCTCTATAAAGAGAGCCTGTCACCGCCTAAAGCTAACACATAGGGGCTTGCTATCCCCTGTGTGATAGCAATAAAGTTAAGTGGAAAAAAAAGTGGAAAAAAGTAAAAAAATTATTTAAAAAAATAAAAAGGTGATACTAAATTTACAAATATTAAATTAAATACAAATGTAAAATACAGTGATAAAAGTACAAAATAATAAAATAAACTTTAAAAAAATAATAACAAAATAAAAAAGTAAAGAATATTAAAATAAAAATAAATAAAACAATATCTTGAAGCTAAGAGAAAGATGACCCTGCGAATCATGTGACCAGAAATTATGGTAGAAGGTGAAATAGACCTTTACAGATCAATTACTGCTTGTTAAAAATCAAGGATTTTGCTATATCACTGAGATGCTAAAGGAGATGCTAGGACATCCACACACATATATTGGCTCTGTAGAAAAATATACTGCTTGTTATCGAATGTTATTTCAATGTTCAGTGCATCTTAGTCTGTCAAAGTTCAGTCTAAGATTGAAGATCTTCGTTGCCATGCTGTCTGTCCATTCCTATTTTGTATTAATTTTAACTATATTGATGGTAAACATATTTTGATCTATTAAGATGTTAAATATTTTCATATATTTTAGTAATATATGAAATCTTAATTGTGAGGCATATACTGGTAGATTTTTCTCGTTTCCATGGTAACAGACAGCTGATGCAGTAGCCATAAGCAGGAATACATTAATTTTCTGTCTCATGTAACTCTTATAAATTAGTTTTTACAAACAAGCTAGCCTCTGCTGCTCTACAAAGAATCAGTTTTGTGGTAAGTGACTCTTTGTGAATGTAATTTTACGATTAACAATAATATAACATGCATATGCTAAATTCGGGAGGTCAATGCGTTAAAATATTGAAGGGAATCAAAAGGAAAGAAGTGATCAATAAATGAGCAAAAGTATGAATATTGAAATATTTTTCATTCTTTAGGGAGCATTAGTCAAATTGCTTGGTAAGTCCAGGTATAAAAAAGCGTGCAAGTCACTCCATGTGAAAGCACTGGGCCAACTAAATGAAGGGGTCCCTCCGTACAAATCTGGTGACCTGTAGCTTACACAGTGAATTGCTTATACTTCAGGTGTCTGAACAGAGTGGTATGGGAGCAAAAGGAAGATAAGTTTTCCTCTACAAAAGCAAAGCACAGATTGTAACACAGTTGCACTATATTTTTTTTATTATATTGTTATACTGTACAATGATTTCTGCCTCACAATGTTTCATCCACAGAACCATAAATAATGTGTGCTAGAACATTATTTTCTTCATGTAATTAAAAGTTTAATATAGAACACCCCTAGTTCTCATGAATCGGTAGTTGATCACCACCTGCAATGGTTCCCTTTTTTTCGTCTTCCTTAATAGGCACCTCATAGAAACTTACTACTGAAGCAGACCCCCTCCCCCCAACAATTTGAAACTACCACCATTATTGTAATATTCATTGCCAAATAAACATCTAATTATAATTATTTGCCCCATTTCTCTTTTGTCACATGCTAATGTGCCTCTTTCCACCTCCATTATTTTATCTCACAGATGTAATCAGTGGCCGGCTTCTTTTATTACGTTTTTGATGCCAGCCCACCAATTATGTCAGCACCACATCTGTGTAGAAAAATAAGGGATAAATGGGCTTTTTCCACGAGATCTCATAACATTTTCACAATCTCGAGTAAAAGTCTGCTCATTCTTTTTTTTTTTTTTTCTATACACAGATCTCATAGTTTACATATAAGAATTCCCTGGAAGACGCTGGTGATGTAACCTTCCCAGGGGGGCAGCTATGAGGCCCGAGAATACGTCATCTATGCCCCTAATCATCCAGGAAGTGCGAATAATTTAAATGTAAGTTACAGAATTGTATATTTTTACAATTTATTGCAAGATGTTTTATCAGCACGCAGAAAAGTCAGTATCAGGGATTTTTAGTGTTGGGGGAAGGGTCCCCTTTCATTACAGAATTCAAGCAGTATTTTTAAGTGCAACAAATTAAGTGACAGTTACTGAAAATGGGGGCAAGAGTCCAAAATTCTTCATATCAATGAATGTATTAGCTAAACATGGGGGTAAGAGATTACTTCACACTTTTTAAGAAACTTATTTTTCATTTAAAAACAGGCCTTGTTCACACCAAATGCAGAGCAGATCTGCATGAGTTTCTGCACACGCAGTGCCGCGTTTTTGCCACGTTCAGGGCTGTTTTTGGTTCAAAAAAATACAAATAAAATATATATTTTTTTTAGTTTAAAATGGGCTTTGTGCGTTCCAGTGCGTTTTTGATGCGTTTGCATGCGTTCCAGAGCAGGTAAAATAGGGCTTGCTGCAATTTTTTTTACATGCTCTGGAACTGAACGCTGCGGTGTGAACTAGAGCCCAAAATACCATTGGAATACATTGGACGCAGTTTTGATCCGGTCTGTAACTGCTCTGCTCTTGGAACACGCTTGTTGTGAACAAGGCCTTAGGCCAAACTTTTTTTGTTTTGTTTTTATTTTCAATAGAGCAGGGTATAAGTAAACCCCCTTCAGGTTATTTTCTGCTGTGTCCCATTGGAAATATTTCCCTTCACTTCCTGTCCTGTAGATACAACAAGAGGTAAGAGAAACCTCTCCAAATTGAGGAAAATTAACCATGAGACTTCCCTTCCAATCCTGTTCAGATGACAACTAACAGTCTGAGGTTTGTCTTCACTTTTAGTCTTAGCACCAGTTGCCACTCTGACAAATAGGAACAGTTAACTTTCTCTGCGAGGACACCAGACTGCAATAAAAGCATGAATGGGGTTCTAACCATTCACCACTACTCTATCCAGAACTACAAAAAAGTTTTGCCTTTAGATACACTTTAATGAAATGCAGTGCACTAAACATGTAGTCTGAGGGACAGGTATGCAGCACGGGAGGCTTTGCACCCCCTTCCCCACTTCTTTGTTTCCCTGCTATTCTGGACTGCTCAGCCTATCCTGTGAGAAGTCAAGCAAGGCCATCTTAAACTACATTAGGGATCAAATACTGTTCTTTACTTAATAAATGATGGTCAGGACCTGATGATTTTCCAATAACCATCCTAATTTTCACAAAAGACATTACCCAGAATGATAAGCAAAGCTGCTCTCTACTAATCAATTTAACTTTCAAGCTGACATTAAAGCCGATTCCCTTTTCACATTACCAGTGATAATTAAAAGCATTTTTTAACAAATGGGTGACTTAAATTCAGACAAATGGTTTGCATAAGGTAGCAGATAATAATCCTCCATGTAATTAAATGCATGTGTGTGTTTGAGAAACCATTTACCCTACATAATAAAATTACACCTATGCTCCACATGGCAAAAGCTAAATAAATGCATGCTTCATTTAGTAGACAGTTCTTGTTTGCACATCAAAGAACACGAAATCATAAACTCTGCAATGCATTAACTATTTTATTCCTATATGTGGTATTAAAATAAAATACCAAATAAATAATTATGTTTCATTCTGGTCAAGCTGGTTTGGGAACAGTTGCAGAAGCCCAGAATTTGTGAACCAATCGCGTACATACACACTTATGCATATATACTATATATATAACAGATTGCTTTCAACCATAAAATGGGTCATATAGATCTTCCTTTTTTGATAATAAGAGCTCACCTCAAGCAGTTTGTCGTAACGTTCTGCAGACATAAGAAACCTCCCATCCTCCAGCTGCATCTCCCGGTTCTCCAGCAAATTATTTAGGACTGGCAGGACATTCCGCTCGGCTTTTTCTAACCCCTCCAGAACCAGAATTCTTCCCTTTGTAGCTGCACGCACTGCACACTTTAGAGCAAAACAGAACATAAAGGAATATTAGGCAACAGCATAATATGAATAGGGAACAAATAGATACATTTCTGCCATGGTCACATATCAAGTGAATAGCATGACAGGGCTGTTTAGATTTATAAATATAATCTATTAACCATTCAATGCCAGTATAGAAATGGCTCCTTCTAAGCCTGCCACCCAGAATAATAAAGCCCTACCATTACATCATCAGGGCTAATACATGCAACACAGACAACAACACAGTGGCATTTTTTATTTTGTTACAGATTCATTCCTGCTCAGCTATGATACGCAAATGAGAAGTAACTACACACTGTCCTTATGCGTAACCATATACCGGGGGGGCACATAAATATAAAATTTGTTTTTTTACAATAGGGTTACATGAAGTACTTTTTTTAAATTAATGCTATAAGGGCTTAGTCGAGTTGTTCTTAAAGGCAGACCTATAGTCAAAGTTTGAATGGATTAGAAAATGTCTCCCGATTCCCTACTGTAACGACTGCTCTGTGGTACTGGCTACATCAAGTGAAAAAATTGCAGCGTTCCATACCATATACTGTAAAGAGCCAATTTCAATCCAGAAAATAAAGGAAAAACACGAGGTAAAAAAATATTGAAACCTTTCACAAAGTAAAACAAATGTGGTTGATTTCTCTCATTAAATAAGAAGTATTGGGGGAGTAAAATGTACTCTTCCCAATAGTTTGATTCGGCATGTAACATTGCAGCTGTCACACACCAGCTCTACAGTTCGAGAACGGAGTGATCATGTCACTGCTGACCACTCAGCTCACTGCTTCTCCCGGCAGAGAGTAGTGACTTTCAGTCACCACTCCCCAGAGGGATTCCCCACTCCCCTCTCTCTGTTCCTCCAGCTCTCGCCATTTGTCAATCAGGCAGTGGATCCCGACAATATTATCAGGATTTTTCCTGGCAGCAGCATGGCTCTGCGCTGTCAGCATATAGAGACCCCACGTTTGGCTATAGTTCTCTTTCAAATTATGAGTAGCAAGACAATTGTAATTAGTTTTTAATAACTTACGGTTTTTGTAATATGTTTTGTTTGTCGGGGTATTGGGGTAGTTTGTTAAGTTGAAAAAAACATAACAATAAACACCTTTGTTACCTATTAAAACTCCCAACTCAGCTTAATATATTTACATTACAGGTAACAAGCAGGAGCAGAGTGATTTTTCTGAGTTATGTAACAATGTATGTACAAATAGGAACAAATAAGTGATGATGCTATCCAATAACTGTAGTCCTTAAGGAGCATATATACATGTTTCAATTTACACCTGTAGTTCACAACACACTCTAATAAAAAATAAATAATCAAACAGACAGCGAGGACAATGGAAAACGAAAAGGTCAATTGTCATTTAATGTCTTTATCATCAAACAGCATCCAGAGAGATTACTTTCCAGTGAGTCACACTGAACACACTGAAGCTACACAGAACATGATTTTCATCTAGCTAATTAGAAAATATTTACTTAGCCATATCCCAATACACCTACTTACCATCTGTACATTCAAAACTCATTTAACATGTTAAAATGGAAAGGAAAAAAGTATTCCACAGGGACTGATCATAAAAAAACACAGAGAAAGCTTTTAAAGCTGAACTCCAGGCAACATCATTTCCAAGAGGGCTTAGTATGTGTTTACCTCTGCTGGGTTATAATTTAAAGTCAACAATGTAAACAGCTTGCAAAGAGTTCCTTAAATTTCATGCTGGTGTTGAACCTCTACCTCCTGCTTGGCCATTCAGACAAAAGGTGTCCGCAGCATCATTTTTGGCTGTGTTTTGTGAAGGGGCAAGTGTAATATGGGATGAAGACATGAAACTAGCACTTGAACAATGCAGATCTGAGCATCACGTTTTGCATTATGCTGCAGTAAGTTACTGAAATGGAGGGCAATGGGCAAAACAATGGATTAAAGGACAAGAAGTCACGTGCAGTCTAATGAAATTCTCACACTTCATTTTTGGGACATCATATTTGTATATAAGTTGATGTTACCGGGTTTTGGAGTGTCCCTTCCTCAAGCCGACATAGTGACATGGACATGGAAATTGAACAAACATTTACATCGAACATCTGCCGGAAGGATCTGAGTCTTGTCTTGTCTGTGAGCGTGTGCCTGACTTGTCAGCTGACTGTGGGCCACCCTTTTAGATCCCCTGCTTTAATACAATGACTACAGATATTCATTTTACTAAGATTTATGAAAAGCAAAATCACAAAAATGTGCATCATGTATATTGTGTATATTAGTATGCCACATGGCTAGTCTGATCTGGGACAAAGCTGAGACTGGTTTGCAAGTGGTAGTAACTTTGTACCCTTTGTTTTGAGTATTGCTTCAGGGTGTTATGCTTCTTTAATATTACAGAGGGATCAGTAAGGGGCATTAATGATTTTTTTCAGAATGAACAAAAATGTGCATATTAGACTGCAGTGAGACTTGTATGGACAGAGTTGGGATACTGACCTGCGAATATCAGGTTTAGGTTTAGGATGACTAATGTGTAACTTCAAAGAGTTTCTGCTCAATATATTCCCATCACACACCATACTGAAATAGACTTTAACATTCATGGTGCTATAGCTACTGTTGCCTGGCAATAGTGAAAATATGTCACCGGCATACCTTGAACCTTAGCCAGTCGTGAAACTTATTCAGAGCCGGACCCCTATATCAAGCATGTCTGATGCAGAGATCCTCCTTGGCTCTGAAACATTGGAACTACGATGTGATCTTTTAAAAAACATTGGAACTTTTCAGTAAGTTCTTAGAGCATCTGTCACAAAACTCAGGGCAGTGAAACTCAACGTATTCAGCTTCACAGAGAGTGACATCACGGTCCTGGAATGGCTATAAAGTGATATCAGTCTCCATTAGAGGCTTCTGGAACAGGTATTGTGCTTCAGAACAGATTTTCATAAATATTCAATAGCCACTCTGTGTCCTTTGCAAACTATGATCACTTTTGAAGAAAATGCAGTTAAATTATTTAAAACAGAAGATACCATGTAAAACTGATAACAGAAATCAGATGAAAAGATAAATATAACCCCGACTAGGAAATCAGAAAAGCACTGAATGAGTTAACAGTATAGCACATGAAATCCTCTTGTCATTCACGTGCACACAAATTAAAATCCAGCTTTTAATGGTTGCTCATAATTAGCTGTCTCCAGTTCCATTTTTGTAATTAGCTTCTTGGCCCCTTGAGCAGATAAAGGGAACAATATGAGGCAATTTAGTTTTAAATAGATTCTTCTAAGTCTGTCTGTTATCCAGATGCAACATAATATCCAATTTGAGGAACCCAAACGGATTAAAAATTAAACTTATGATTGAAAATTTTAAAAAAACTTTAAGAAAAGAGCAATCTAATTCTTATTGGAACAGTTTCAGACTTCATTCTATTGCACTTAATAACCCAGCCTTTGCAAACTCACTTTCATATTGGTAACACAGTTATAACAAAATATTCATTTATAGATGAAATCTAAATGCAAATTCATATATTCATTCCTGGCTCAGTTTTTAATCTCTAAATTTTCACTAATATAAAACTAGTCAAATCATAATGCAATAACCTACTTGGCACTGGGGATATACTGTATCTCCTGTTCATACTGACAATTATCAAATGTAACATAAAAAAGGATCCAATATGTTGGCCAGGGAACAAGATCCTGGACTTAGGGCCATTCACATTGGGTCCATGCACTAAATGCATGGTTCTGTGCGCGATGTACCTCGCGCACCATGCAATGCTTCAACAGTGCATGGTAGGTGCAGGGACCACGTGTGAACGGGCCCTGACACTGGATTTGGTGAAATGGTAGGAAACAGCAAATTTCAGAGCCATAATATCTACAATACATGGTTTACTGAACCATTGTGTCTTCTGCCTCTGCCATGGGTTCCTTCACATTTTCGCATTGAATCATGCATTTGCATAGTACAGGCAAGCCATCCACCAGCACAATGGAAACATATGGTGCTAATTCAGGGTGGGCAGCATCCATGACCTCCAGCATTCAGATGAGGACAGAAGTCCGCCTACATCCAGACCTGCTCCATTTCCCCTCTACCATGCCGTCGCAGCCAAATTGTGGTAATGATTATAAGGCAGGACTCGGATGTAAAGGGTGGGACTGAGTGCACTGATGTGAAGGGGGTCTCCTGATGTTAAGGGGGACACTCTGATGTGAAAGCAGGGGAAGTCCAAATACATTTTTTTGGGGGCCCCCCTTAAAATCCATGTAGACTTGTAGAGATTTTGGGGAAGCCAACTTTTTTTTATTTTTACCTTTTTTTACATTTTAGACTGGGGTGCGTTGAGATTTTGCATACTTTTAAGGGGTGTCATTAAAAAAGGTTGAGAAACGCTGGATTATAGAGGCTAATTACAAAGTACTACTACTTAGGTACATGGTCCCTGCCAGTCTAGGAGCCTATATTCACTACTGTTCACCTCTATATTTCCACCAATGTGGTCAGATGGGCACCTTGTTCCGAATTTGGTGGACTTGCTCTAAAGTCTAGAAGTTCTGGATACACATATAAAACTTTATTAATTCAGTAGCTGCTGTCAGTCTGCTTACATTTTTAACGGACATTTTGATAATGGACACAACTGGAAAGCGAAGCAGAAACAGTAAAATCCGTGTCCTAAGGAGTCCGTGTCCTAAGGAGAGGGCTGCAACACCCCTTCCTTCTAAACCCCCCATGTAATCGATCCCTTATCTTCTCTTCTTCAATCGTCTCCCCTTCTGTTAATTTGCTTCGCTATATTCTTCCTTTCGTAAAATCCTTTTTTCTCTGGACCTTTGGGTCACATAAAGCAATAATAATATATAACTAAGTCAATCCTTGACTCACCTAGGCAAAATACATTGTTCTATTTACCTGATTTTATACTATGTGTATTTATCAGTGTTTGTGGAAACCAACTACAACTACCCTCACTAGCATAGTATTGCATTGTTTCTTGTTCTTTTCTTGATGCTAATAAAAGCAAATGAAAAAAACCTAGTCCATTTTTTTTATTTGCAGGTCAAGAGAAAAAGAAAGTTCCAGGTATTTGAAAATCAATAGGGAAACCGAATGCACAATTTTACAATTTTAATAAACATGCACAGGACACTCTGTGCGACATTATCATTTATGATGGAAGTCTCTCTGCATCATATTTCTATTTTATACATATCTCACTTGTTACCCTGTTAATATGTGTCAGTATCAAGTTACCTGCATAGATTATTATACAGTCTGGAAATAATTGGACACTGACAGAATTATCATAATTCTGGCTCTGTACGCCACCACAATGGATTTGAAATGAAACAACTGAGATGCAGTTGAAGTGCAGACTTTCATCTTTCATTGGAGTGGTTGAACAAAGATATATGAAACATTTAAGCCCCTTATTTCAAGGGCTCAAATGTAATTAGGCAAATTAACACAATAATGAATAAAATGTTATTTTTAATACTTTGTCCAAAATCCTTTGCAGGCAATGACTGCTTGAAGTCTGGAATGCAAAGACATCATCAAACGCTGGGTTTCCTCCTTTGTGATGCTTTGCTAGGCCTTTACTGCTGCTGTCTTCAGTTGTTGTATTTTTGTGGGTCTTTCTGCCTTACGTTTTGTCTTCAGAAGTGAAATGCATGCTCAATTGGATTGAGATCAGGTGACTGACTTGGCCATTGCAAAATATTCCACTTGTTTGCCTGTAAAAACTCCTGGGTGGCTTTCGCAGTATGTTTTGGGTCATTGTCCATCTGTAAAGTGAAGCATCGTCTAATCAACTTAGCTGAATTTGGCTGAATCTGAGCAGACAATATATCGCTACACACTTCAGAATTCATCCGACTGCTTCTGTCTTCTGTCACATCATCAATAAACACTAGTAACCCAGTGCTGTTGGAGGCCATGCATGCCCATCCCATCACACTGTCTCCACTGTGCTTTACAGATGATGTGGTATGCTTCGAATCATGAGCCGTTCCAAGCCTTCTCCATACTTTTTTCTTCCCATCATTCTGGAACAGGTTGATCTTACTTTCATCTGCCCAAAGAATACTGTTCCAGAACTGGGCTGGCTTTTTTTAGATATTTTTTGGCAAAGTCTAATCTGGTCCTTCTATTCTTGAGGTTTAGGAATGGTTTGCACCTTGTGATGAACACTCAGTATTTGCTCTCGTGAAGTCTTCTTTTTATGGTAAACTTGGATAATGATATGCCTACCTCCTGGAGAGTGTTCTTCACTTGGCTGGATGTTGTGAAGGAGTTTTCCTTTACTATGGAAAGGATCCTACGATCATCCAACACTGTTGTTTTGCATGGAGGTCCAGGCCTTTTTGTGTTGAAGAGCTCACCAGTGCATTCTTTTTTACTCAGAATGTACCAGACTGTTGATTTGTCCACTCCTAATATTCCTGCTGTATCTCTGATGGATTTCTTTCTTTTTTTTTTTGCAGCCTAAGGATGTCCTACTTCACTTGCATTGAGAATTCCTCTGAACGCATGTTGTCGGTTCACAGCAAAAGCTTCCAAATGCCACACCTGGAATCAACTCCAGACCTTTTATCTGCTTAATTGATGATGAAATAACAAAGAAATAGCCCACAACTGACCATGAAACAGCTTTTGAGTCAATTGTCTAATTTCTTTTGGTCCCTTGAAAAAGAGGGGTCTGCATATTAATGAACTGTAATTCCTAATCCCTTTCTCCAATATGGATGTGTATACCCTCAACTTAAAGCTGAGAGACTGCACTTTAAGCCCATATTCTTTATTTAACTGTAACTTTAATTTATTTTGGTAAACAGCCACATAACAAAACTTGTGTCAGTGTCTAATTATTTCCAGACCTAACTGTCTATTCAGGAAGTGCCCCGTTGACTTATACAGGTCTAAATACCTGGTTTGTTTTGGTGTTTTTATCGTTTAACTTGTTTTGGGCTGTAACCAAGATGAGAGGTTTATATGAAAGTCCTCAATTTTTGCACTCTATTATGTGAGAGGTCCTTGGCCTCAGGCCCTGATGGGCTACCAAAAGAGGTACACAAACAATACGCTGAAGTGATAGTCCCCGCTCTAGCAAAACATATATATCACTGCCTTCTGTAGAGGTAACCTTCAAATATTTATGCATGATGCTACTTTTATACTCCTTCTCAAACCTAATAAGGAATCAGTTGAATGCATATTCTATAGACCTACATGTCTTCTGAACTCCGATTACAAAATCTTGACTAAAATGATGGCTACCAGGTTGAGCTTCATTATACCGTCTTTAGCTCATGATGATCAAGCACATTTTATGCATGAGTAGTCCACTACAATCAGTTTCCTTAGGACTTAAATGATAACTCAACGTAAGGGTCTTTTTTTCTGATACATGTGTTTTGACTTCTTTACATATGGTAAAAGCCATTGATTCAACTGAATGGCCAATCCTACAGGCTTGCCTCACTCACTCTGGCCTGGGCCCAAACTTCAGGAAATGGATTACCATATTTTATGCCAACTAGCAATCTAATATTTTAGTTAATATTATTATTATTATACAGGATTTATATAGCGCCAACAGTTTGCGCAGCGCTTTTTAATAGACTTCTTTATCCATTATATAGATGCACAAGACAAAGATGTCCCCTATAATCACTTTCATTCACCCAGGTGATCAAAGCTCTTGTCCTTAAGATTCACCAGATGGAGGATTACAATGGTATTACTTAGGGATGCACCAATACCGATACAAACATCGGTATCGGCGGCGATACCGAGTATTTGCATGAGTACTCGTACTCGTGCAAATACTCCGATACAAAAAACGAGTACCTGTGCCGCGTCCGCCATCTTCAGGGACCCGAATCCGCTGCACACAGGACCTCCATCGAGTCTTCAATGAAGCAAGATGGCCACGAACTCCTCCTCCAAGACCTCAGTCATCTGCTCCATTCTGACCTCTTCTCCCGCTGATTGGCCGATTGGATGATTGACAGGCTTCCTCACCAGTCAGGAGTGACTGGTGAGGAAGCCTGTCATCATCCAATCGGCCAATCAGCGGGAGAAGAGGTCAGAATGGAGCAGATGACTAGGCTGTGACACGGAGTGGCTGAAGCAGACGGAGAAGACGACACAGCAGGTTAGTACTGCCGCACCTCATGGGGCTGGGCACAAAAATGCTGTTTACCGGCATATATTATTTAAAAAAAAGAAAATAACTATGTAGATATTGCTAACTAAGGCTTGTATCCCCCTAGTGGTGAAAATAGATGAGCACATGTCCAGACTGCAGACCAGAACACAGTGTGGCACAGCTATATCCAATTCTGCATACCTGGCTTTATATTATAAGAAAATGTAATAATAATATAAAGCCAGTTATACAGAATTGGCTGTAGCTGTGCCACACTGTGTTCTGGTCTGCAGTCTGGACATGTGCTCATCTATTTTCCCCACTAGGGGGATACAAGCCTTAGTTAGCAATGGCATGATAAATATTCATTTCATTATTCAATGTCTTTTTTTATATTATAAATGTTATAATATTAAAAAAAAGACATTGAATAATGAAATGAATATTTATCATGCCATTGCTAACTAAGGCTTGTATCCCCATAGTGGGGAAAATAGATGATCACATGTCCAGACTCCAGAACAGTGTATTATTGTATAGTGTGGCACAGCTGTATCCAATTCTGCATACCTGGCTTTATATTATAAAGTTCTTATAATATAAAGCCAGGTATGCAGAATTGGATATAGCTGTGCCACAATACAAAGTGTTCATGTTCTTCATAATATTAAGAAACTGACCTAAAATCATGATTTTGTATTGCTTTAGAAAAATTTGAGCTGTCTCTTTGAGAAAAAGTATTGGTAATTGGTATCGGCGAGTACTTGAAAAAAAGTATTGGTACTCGTACTCGGCCTTAAAAAAGTGGTATCGGTGCATCCCTAGTATTACTAACAATATGAAAACTGCACGTATATGGCTTTATGCTGATAATCTCGTTCTGCAATTAATACCATATAGGAATGTGGTGGGTACCCCAGACTAAAAGTTAATTGGCAAAAACCAGCCCTTATTAGGGTTTACAACCGTTTTACGTAGGATTAAGTAATTATTTCTTCTGTGACATCCCCCCAGACTCTGTGTAGGTGTGGTTAAAACATCCTGTCACTATTGGCTTTTCCTGATATGTCTGCATTGGGATATGAAAAAAATCACCATGCTGTTTGTATAGACTAAACATCCTGACTGAAGGTGAGTGGGTCATCCTTGCTTGTCCAATTGACCTTTGATGTCCAGGGTCACCATTTTCTTCATACATCATAATGTAAAACCAATTTTAATCAATAAAGCTATTCACGCAGTAATTCAATTTACAGCTACCTTTATGCCTTAGATTCATCCGTGCATACATTAAGAACAAGGTTTAATCTTGCTAAATGTGAGTAACGTAGTGTGATAACAGCTTGCCTGATCAATGTAGAACGCAGTCCCAGATCGTATCTCTCTCCGCTGCTTAAGATCAGATTCGGTGGTGTCTCGGGACAAAGCAATATATTCCACCTCTCTCTTTGTCAGCTCCTGTAACAGGAAAGAGAATAGGAGTATTACTGTACCAAGAAATAAAAATACAGTGAACTTAAAAGTACAGGTAAGGTCCATATTTTTTAAAGCCCAATTAAACCTTCAGTTTAATTAACTACATAAATTCCAGGTGCATCAACACAAAAGGGGTTCAAAGTAGGGATGCAAAGAAATTTCGGCCGCCGCAGCATATCGGCCGAAAATTACACTTTTGGCAAAATGCCGAAAGTGCCATCTTTTGGCCAAAATAGCGGTGTATCCCTGCTTTCTCTTCTTCCCCACTGGGCGCTTCTCTGTGCCCCAGCAGGGAGGAGAGAAACTGTCACAGGAAGCCGAGTGGTATGTGGGAGGAGAGCGCTGTGAGCGGCTGGCATCTCTTCTCCCATGCCGCTTAGCCTCCTGTAAAAGATCAGGAGAGCGACTGTGTGGGACAGCTTGCAGCTGTCTCTGCCCCAACACTGCTGCTCTCCTGATCTGTCATAGGAGGCTAAGCTCTCCTCCCGCACCACCCCGCCTCCTGTAACAGATCAGGAGAGCAGCAGTGTGGGGGCGGAGAGAGCTGTCAGCTGTCACAGGAGGCCGTGGCGGTGCTGCAGAGGAGGAGTCAACTGTCAGGGGAGATTGAACTCTCCTCACTGCACCGCTCGCTCAGCCTCCTGTGACCGCAAGTGATGAAAGATAAACATAAATGTAAAAGTTTTTACAAAATAAATACAATATTTCAAAAAATTTGAAAAGGTTAGAAAAAAAAAATGTCGGTTTCGGCCTGACATTTTTTTTTCATTTTGGTTTTGAAATTTTCTTTTTGGTGCACCCCTGGTTGAAAGTCTTAAAGTTAATTTTCTTTCTAAAGCAGCAATAGCTCGAGTAGAAAAGCCTGTCCCCTGCCAGCATTCTGCAGAGTGAACACTGTATTTTCACTGCAGAGGTCCAACATGCCCCCTGCAGAGTCAGACCTAAAACTCTGCAATCCACAAAGCTCATGTCCCTGCTAATGAAAGAAGTCTGACTCAGAAACAGTAGGGGACATGCCAGACCTCTGCAAAGAGATCACTACTTCCCAACAGAGAGTAAGGGTCCTACTTTACAGCATGCTGGAAGAGGACAGGCTTTTCTACTCAGGCTGTGGCTGATTTTTAAAGAAAACATACTACAAGACTTTGCATATATTTTGTTTTGGTGCACCTGGAACGTGTTTAGCTAATGTAAACTGAAGGTTCAATTGGGCTTTAAGAGTTTAGCAGAAGTTCTTATGCTAAATGTTAAAATCTCACCTATTCAGGTCCCACTTTTAAATAACTAATCATGAGTATTCATTTGGGCTGTGTCTGCTGTCACAGTTCACACAAACATTTTTCATAACCAAGTATAACTACTTCATCAATGGATGTGTTGCTCAATTTCTTCCACATGTAGCAATGACAAATATGTACTATACAGAACTATTATATGGCCTTGTATCTACACTGGAAAAGAACAGAAGCCTGATAATGCACCATACAGAAACTTACCAAATATTGCATAGCAATGGAACGCCTTAATGGACCTGGGGGACCAATGAGGAAGATATCTTGTCCCAAGAGGTCTTTCTGCATTATCCATCTTAGATGTTGGACAACTGCTTGGCATAGTGGATCAGAAACTAAAAGCAAACCACATCAACAAAGAATATTTTAGAAACCATGTTATTAGGTACCCCTATCTTATACTCATATAAAAGTATATGTGACGAGTAAGATCTTGTATGCAGTGGTATGAAAGTCAGTAACTTTACAAGTATTTATGATTCAATTCCTGATATGTCACAATATACAGTAATTGCAGCATCTCAAAAGGTGCTCCACATTTTATCATTTAAAAAAAATTGTCATTGGGCTTCTGCCAGTGACTTTGCCTAGGCTGAGATGAAGTCATCAGTGTTGCTGCAGACTGGAGAAATCCTTTCTTCTGGTCAGTGATCAGACTGCAACATTGTAACTTTGAAGCAAGTCACAAGGTAAGAGGCAGCAGCAGTGGAGCAATATATTTCAGATACAGTTCAGGCACCACCAAAAACTACAATCTACATAAGGGGTAGGTAAACACTGGCCCTGAGCTGATGGAGGAACTAAAAATCCCATTAGGCATTGCAAGACTCTGAGCTGAAGGGCCAAAGTTGGCCTACGCTGATCTACATGATCTGGCATCTCAGTTCAGATAGTAGATGCTGACCCTAAATGATGCCTGAACAAAGATTGCTTTGTCCTTCTAAAGAGAAAAGCAAATCAAAGTATTATCAAGGGTAGTACTGTGTTCTCTGTGAGAAGTAATAAATACCTGCATGTGTTCTTGAGAGCTCATTCATACCATGTGCAGTGACTGGCACTCTTCTGCACCTCAACACTGCAAGGACACATAGAAAACAACTGTTTTCTTTGTGCGCTGTTCAGACCGCAATGCTATCTTGAAGTGCAAAAAAAACGAGATGCTGTATTTTTCCACACCTCACGTCAGCACTGGTCACCACACCGCAGCTGAGCTGAAGCGATAACAAATGAGTGAAATACGGTTTTGACATTTCAATAAAGTTTATTGAACTTATTGCCGCGCCTATTTATTGTCTGGCACAAACTGGACACCAATCCATACACTAAAAAAGATCATTTAGCATGTGGGCTGATGTGAATGAGCCCTTACACATTCCTTAGCCTGCATGCATTTAACATGAAAATAAATATATAATGCTATGGTAGGTCCACTTTAACTACCTCCCGGCCAGCCGCTGTGTATACACGGCCTGCCGGGAGCTTCTTGGATGTAACTGGTCAGGAAGGATCCATAAATGCATTCTTTACAAGCCAATGTATGACCCAACCACCTGCATGTCCCAGCAAAGGACATGCAGAGGCATTTTTTTCTGTTGTCCTTTTGGTGACCACATGCAGCTGGAATTAGTCTCGTTTCCCTGTTCTTAGGTGACAGCAATGGGGCCCTAAATGGTCTTTTTGGTGTCCTAGGCCTTGTTGTCCTAAAATTTTACATATTGTACATTTAAAGAGCCCATCCGGCTTTGACTCCACTGGCAAATATGACTGTCCTGTACAAGTACTCTAAGGTGATAGTGATGTGCACAGGAAAAGCTTTTCCTACTAAAAAAAATAACTATTTTGGTGACATTTTTAAAAGTATCAAATCAAATGTAAATGCAAGTTCACTTCAATGTATTTTTGCTTGGATTTATTCAAGTGTTAATAAAAATCACAGCATGTGAGCAGTGTGTTTACCTGTAAACACTATTCTAAAGAGCATCAGCTTCAGCAGGCACTTGTAAAGCTTTTAACAATCATCAAGCAGATTTCTTGAAGACCTTAAAGGACCACTATCATTAATAAAAAATAGTTCACTTATACAATGATAGTGTACACTAGGGGTGCCCATTAGGTCGATCGCGATCTACCAGTCGATCGCGTAGCGATGACTGGTAGATCGCGATGTCCTGTCTTCTTAAATCATGGAGGCAGGGCGCTGGGTGACGTCACACGACTGTTAGGGGGCAGCTTGTTTTCTTGCCATGTGCGCAAAAGGATCTGGCTATGGCTATGCTCCCGCGGTGCTCGTGCGGCTGCCGGCTGAATGTGTCAGACGGAAAGGGGCGAGACACCTCTCCCTGTGTGTAACGTCGGCCACACGAGCACAGTGGGAGGATAGGATGCCGGCGCCTCTAGGACGCACTGGAATGTAAGCCGGCCGACTCCCTGCGTTCAGGGGAGGGAGGGGGCGTGGGGTTGCACCGCAGCCATGTCCCCCGCCCACAGTTCGATCGCCCGCACCCGGAACGCAGGCCTATAGTGCCTGCATTCCGGTCCAGTGTGATCTGCAAAAATAGTGCTTGCAGCATTTTTGCGGATCGCAAGGGACCGGAACGCAGGCACTAATGTGCCAGGGTTCAGGGTGCAGGCCATCGCACTGTGGGCGAGGGGCCTGGCTGCGGTGCCATTGACTTCAATGCACCGCCACGCTCCCTCCCGCCCCTGAACGCAGGTTTTTTTTCGTTGGTAGATCTCATTGAGCTCGTCATTTGAAAAGTAGATCTCCAGATGAAAAATTGTGGGTGCCCCTGCTGTACACTATACAAATTACTATTTTTTTCACATTCCAGTAGCTACATGTTTCTTCACATTTACAGGCAGAATGAGCTCTCCAGAAAAAGTGACAGGGGTGATTACAATGGTTACCTTCTATTTGCAACCTGTCACAAATTTGGTAAATTCAAACTTGGCATTTGATGGAAGAATACATAAAAATTCTAGGCTGACAGTTGCAGAATTCTTTTTTAAATAAAGTATCAGATAGGAGAAAATTATAACAATAGCAATGGACCAGTGGTTTGATAGCAACCCTCTTCCCCATTTTATCAGCTATCTTCCTTTTAACCCTTTCGCTGCCAAGGGCGAATGGCATACGGACCTACAAAAGTGCTTCCAGCTGGCCAGGTCAGTATGCCATACGGATTAAAAAGGGTTAAAACACAGAATTAATTTTAAAGATTTGGATTGTTACCTAAAAATGTGTGTCTCTTCAGTATTTCTGATAACTTAAATGTTGTTTAGTAACTGCCCAGTAGCTTAATGGCCTAGATATGATCTCACCTTTGTTTTCTACACACATTACGGAGCAAAATATGTAAGTCATCCAGTCAGGGTTTTCTATTCTTCATGCATCACTTAAAAGCAGCATTATGTTCTATTTCTTTTACCAAGTTTTTTTCCTGTATTCAGTACTGGCTAGATATTCTATTTAGGTTTAATGTCCCTGTGTTAAATACCTTAAATCTCCAGTTTGTCTCAAAGAGAACTTTGTAGTACAATGTCTGCTTATAATGTCTGTGCCCCTGTCCCCTAGCATTTAGTACTCTAAGACCTTGACCCCATTTCTACATTGCATCCTTCCAAGCGGTTCCTGGGAATTGCAGAGCAGGCCAAATGTCGAGAAAAGACACTTCAGTCTATTGCATGAGCATATTCTCATGGGATTTAGGCTGCTTTGTATTCCCCAAGTTCTCACCAGAAGAAGTGGGACCTCACCCTTTCCATGGACCTACCTTTTCTTTACAGGCACACTTCTACAGCTGCTAAAGACCAGACAGTTTTACAGGGGGAAAGAGCCTAGACATAAAAAAAAGCAGACCTTGAATTTTACATTTTTAAAGAGAAATTCCAGGATTTATCAAAGTTAACCCTTGCAGTGCAACTCACCCTGCAGTGCAAGGGTTAACTGCTCATTTTGGTCTAGGGTCGAAAATAAAGAAAATATACTTACCTGATCCTAGATCCTGTCTGGCTTCTAGACTAGTGCCCACAGCGTCTTCTCTCCCAGGCTCCGGCCGTTTAAGGACCCATGACATCATTATGTCTAACAGGTCTATTAGATGTGAAAACGCTGAGGGAGAGAAGTGGGTGGTCACAGCCGCAGGGCCGAGAATCAGGTGAGTATGTTTTATTTATTATGTTCCTTAGACCAAAATGAGCAGTTAACCCTTGCAGTCTGGGGGGTAACCCTAATGCAAGTTAACTTTCGAAAATGCTGGAGTTCTTCTTTAAACTTGCAGAGATGCCATAAAATGTAAACAGCACCAGGGTTGTCATGTACTGAGGTGCATTGTAGTCCATTTACTTTAAATATTTTGCCTAACACAGCATGACACATGCATATCAGTGCTTGAAAACACGTTTTGTGGTGTGAATGGGCCTTAGAATGATCAGAATGTAATAAGAGTAACTATTTAAAACTGATCTCTAGGCAGGTATAAAAGACACAAATGAATGTAGCTATGTAATCATTAAAATACATCTAAAGGCTCCTGTATGCCAGATTAAAAAAGTACCAGATCCGTTACTAGGGGCTGCACAAGCCTAATAATGTCAATAAAAACTGCCTTTACCTTCCATGACTGGGCCAAATCCTCCTTTATTTATTGTTGTCTCCCATGTTCTCCCTCCCATGCACTGCAGTTCACCGTAGGAGGGTTTCAGCAGTACTGCTAATGCAGAAAGAAGTGGGCAGGACTAGGTGTTGCCAAGACTGACTAGCTACAGGATTATGAATCAGCAGTGACAATACTGAAAGCCACACCCCCTACAATATTTTTTCATCCCACTGTAGTGCATGAAGACACAGCCTAAATGAGAGAGGCAACTCTGCTCTTAATTCAGGAGCATTGCAGCATATTTGCCACATAATCACTGGAAGCTGCATTAGGTGGACTTCACTGGCAGGCTCAACAGGTAATTAAATGTTTATACTTAATGGGAGACCAAAGTTGTACTTTAATTATTCATTATATGTATTTTGTAAATGCAAGTAGGGTGCTGCAGGGAGCATGCTGATAGTAAGAAAGAGCACAGGGACAGAGGGATGAGCTCATCAGTGTGCTGCTACTTTTTTCACTGTGTACTTACAAGGTAGGGGAGGGGAGAATATCTGCAGTTTATATATCTGAAGTTAAAGTGATACTGCAGCAAAGAAAGAAAGATCCCCTTCCCTGTTAGACAGGGATGTGCTGTGGGGCAAAGCTGTCAATATCCCATGACTGGATAGACAGAAATAAAAATCCTTTTGATAGGTAAAACAGCTCTCAGATATAAATTGCATCTGTTTATTTAG